ATCAGAAAAAAAAAAAAAAAAAAACAAACAAACAAAAAGAGAACTAGCAACAATTGAAAATTATGTATCACCGTTTTCCCATAATAGTGAATCACAAAGATCATTTTATTATTGAAAGGCATACTATTCTTTATCATCTTGAAGCATACAAATATATAATTATACAAGACATGCACACATTAGAAACAAAAAAAAACAAAAAGAGAACTAGCAACAATTGAAAACTATGTATCACCGTTTTCCCATAACAGTCAATCACAAAGATCATTTTATTATTGAAAGGCATACTGTTCTTCATCATCTTGAAGCATACAAATATATAATTATACAAGACATGCACACATCAAAAAAAGAAAAAAAAAAAAAGAGAACTAGCAACAATTGAAAATTGTATAGAATAAAAACCTTATAGGCACAAATGAAGCATTGACATACCACACTAAAAGAAAACAGAGCAAATAATGGAAAATTCAGCACTAGTTAATAAGGTTGGCTAGAAAAGTAGCCACGTATTGTCACTTATTGATCACAATAACCTATTACTATTTATAATTTCTAATACTAGTATTTATAAGTTTCCTCCATCAAAGAAATTGGTGTAAAAATTTGCAAATCTAAATTCAAGATTCCATTTTTTGAGGATTAGGATTAAAATTTCAAGGGAAAAAAGAAATTGGGGCTAGGGTTTTATTAAATAGGTAAGAAAAGTGACAAATGATGAGAAACTTATGTAGATATCTGAAGTATCAAATATTAACACTTCAAAACCTAGATCTGCCTTTTCCTTAGTTTAGATTAGGGTTTTGATTTTGAGATTTCAAAACCCTGATACAAGCTCAAATGCTTTAATAACCTTTTCCTTGCCTTGAACCAATGGGACGAAATTGTGAACTAGTGGAAACATGGAGTGGAGAAAAGAGAGAATTTCTCTCTCTGGCAGAAGAGAAAGAAGTAGAGGAAGAAAGTTGGGGTTAATGAGATATTACTATTTATATTGCCAAATTGTTGGCAAAATTACAAAAATTGCCACCATTTTAGGAAAAAAATCATTAAAAATATTCTGAAATTGAAAAAAAAAAAGGTTTGGACCAGCGACAAATTCGGTAATTTGGAGGCCCATACGGTAAATATGGTAATGAGCCTCTAATACCAATCCCGTACCACAAGTCTAATACCATTTAGACCTACCATATGGTAATTTCTCATACTGTTTCCATTGGTAATGGGACAACACAATGGTCATTGCGGCATTTATGGTATAGTGCCCAACCCTATCCTTACCTTATACTATAGTACTTTTAACCTCTCATCTTACTAGATTTGTAGGTTTTAACCCCTTACTTATTAAAGTCAAAGAAAATAACCCTCACTTTCTATTGACTGTTAACTTTATTAGCTGAAAGTAAGTTTTTGCTAACTAACAATTAATTAATAGTCAGTTAACAGAATGAACAAAATATTATAAAATTAGTTCTGTTAAATCTATTAGTTAAAAGAAAGTTTTTGTTAGTTAACAATCAATTAATAGTCAATTAATAAAATTAACAGTTAATTAACGAAACTAACAAAATGTTACAAAGTGAGAACTATTTACTTCAATTTTAATAAGTGAGAGGTTAAAAATGATATAGCATAAGGTGATATGTTAAAATTTATAAATTTAATTTAATAAAGTGAGAAATTAAAAATTTCATAATATAAATTGAGAAGTTAAAACCTCGAAGTTCGCAAGGGGTGGTAAAAGTAGGCTTTTGCCTACGAAACTAAACGTTTAGGCCATCTTTACCCGGCTGCATCCCCCTATCTACCTCGGATGATCTTCCTGATCATAATACCCGATCCGGTTTTAAAATGAATGCTTAAATCCGCCGCCAACCGACGCAGGGAAGCTGTTGAAGAACCTCTCTCCATTCCGCCTCGCATTTCGCCGGCCACGAAGGGAAATTGCTAAATTATACAGGGATCTTCCAATTTCACAAGTGTCCGCTATAAATCGCTATGTGTCACCGGTACTAAAACCACTGGTTATATCTTTATCTGATTCATGTTCTAATTTACAAGAAGTAATTTTTCATAAGCAGAATGTTGTGTCTGTACTTGATAAAATAATTTAGAAAGGATTTTTTTGAATGTTAAATTTGATGTTAAACAAATAATTTTCCCCTGATTCTGCTTCTTCAATTTCAACAGAGAAAATTAGCTTTTCTTGTGCTGCATTAGAATGATAAAGACTTCGTTTCTGCCTTGCAAATTATGTATAATCTTCATATCTACTTTCAGTTCTATTTCTTCATGAACCTCTTTAGGACTTTGCATAGCTGACTTTGATGTCCTAATTTTACTTGACCCAGCATTTTTTTTTTTGCTTTTATCTAATGCTTATTCTGTTTGCTGCATTGCAGGCATTGAAGTTCCTGTTGGCGAAAGTTGAATGGTCTGGGCGGTTGAGGTGCAAGGGACCAAGAATGGAGCTAACTCTGGTTCAATCTGATGATTGGCATCTTCATCTGCGTGATGGTGAACTTCTTCAAGCTGTTGTCCCTCACAGGTGATTTTACTTGACGGATAGTGTTCTTTTATTTTTAATGACTGCAGTTTGCTTTCTATAAATCTATGAATCGGTGATAATACTGCAGTGCAAATCACTTTGGGGGGGCAATTGTCATGCCAAATTTGAAATCTCCAGTTACTACCACTGCTGCTGCTGTGACTTATTGGGAACTCATTTTGAAAGCATTGCCTGCTGCTAGCAATTTCTATCCCCTATAATGACACTGTATTTAACAGATACGACAAGTCCTGATGAGATCAAGCTTGCAAGCAAGTTGAGTCATCACCTTCTTTGGTTCTTTTTAAATTTTACTCACCCCTGAAAGTTTTTAATCCAATTATACTAACTAATATGACTCCTTCAATACATGTTTGCTTTAGAAAGTAGAATTCACCTGCCATGATTCCACTATTTGGAATTTCATCCTATAATATTGCCTAATTTAGAGCAAAATAAATTATTGTTTGCAATAATGAACCACTTTATCTGTGGATGGTAATTGATCTCAGGATGCTTTCAAATCCTACCATTGAAGATTTCTTTATTATTTTGTTAGGACCCACGTTAGTCAGATTGTTTCCTTTTTTTTTTCTCTCTCTCTCTCTTTTCAAAAAACAAGGCTTTTTGTGCTTGCATTAATCTGTAATGTATTTGTTTTAACTTTTGATAACACTTGATAAATTAAAAAAATAATAATAAAACCAAACAATATTCTCCTATTAGTTCTTTGCCACAATCTTGTCCTTTTGGCTACAAATTTTTCCTTTCTGTTTTTCCTTTTTTAAGGTTCACTGACAATATTTGATCTATGGGCAGGAAGTAGCAAAGTTGTTTTTGCCATTAAGTTGTACCCTGCTGGTGCAATCACAAATTCTCAAGAAGGTGTCACAGACCTATTGGGAAAATGTTCGCTTGTCCTTGAGCAGATGGTTCAGTACAACATGCCTTTGCTGGTAATTTTATTATTTTCTGTTAACTTTTTGTCTAAAAGTCTCTGAGGCTTGGGGAAAAGTCTTAGTTATTAATTTTAGCATATGTTGGAAGCCAAAGTTTGAAATAGTGACTATATTCTTAATGTCTCATATGCCTGTGATCCATGAAGGAATTTCCCAGCATAGCTTAATGTTTTTGGCAAGAGTGCCAATGTCTCCTTACAATATCCAGAAATGGAACATTTTCTAAATAATATTGATCAGCTTAACTTTGCCTTATATGATATATGTGTCCTTTTGGGAACCAAAGATGGCTGTCTTTCCATCAACTTAATGCTAGTGAAGCTAAATGCAGCCCTGGTTACTTTCAGTAGTACATTTAAAAATTATGTTTGTATTCTTTGTTGTTTGTTTTTGTATCTCAACCTGGTGACAATTCTTTGTATGATTTGTATGATGTGGATTATTACTATTTCAATAACAGGTTCATGGGGAGGTTACCGATCCCAATGTTTATGTTTTCGATTGCAGGAATACTCTTCATCGACACTGTTTTGCAACCTTTAATCCAAAGGCTTCCAAAGTTAAAAGTTGTGATGTAGCATATCACCACCATGGATGCCGTTCGGTTTGTTGAGTCTTGTGAAGAAGGTATGCCTAAATAGTATATTCCAGAGGAGTTTTACTACTTATCTGACATTTGAGGAGTTTTACTTTTTATCTGACATTCTTTTCTTCTATAGGTCTTGCCATAACCGTTTAACTTTCTTCCTTTCAGCCCCTTTAGTCTCACTAGTTCATTTCCTTAGGATTTGTAGCTGCAACTGTTACTCCTCGACATCTTCTTCTTAACAGAAATGTTCTCTTCCAAGGACGACTGCAACCACACAACCGCTGCCTTCCAGTGCCAAAAGAGAAATCCACAGTATGTTTCTTTTCTTGTCTTCCATGGAGTTATATATATGAATTGTCTCTCATGTCGAGACTATTGGATTGCATTTTTGTTTTCAATTTTTAGCAACATGGTGTAGCTAAGGATAAGGATTTCAAATGCTTCTTTTCCAAATAATGTGACACAGAACAGATGTAAAAGGATTATTTTGCTTTCTAATTGTTGGAATACCGAAATAAATTGCTCCTTTGAGTAACTCATGAACAATTGAACGTGGGAAGCATCATTCCTTGCTTTGATATGATAGCAAGGGATATTGTCCATAATTTTCCTTTTTCTTTTGCCCCGATCTTACTCATTATTCTCTTATCTAGGACAGGCTATTGTTTCAGCGGTGACTAGTGGAAGTAAAAGATTTTTCCTTGGAACTGATGGTGCTCCCCATGAGAGACGAAGAAAAGAATGCCCTTGTGGTTGTGCTGGCATTTATAATGCCCCAGCTGCCTTAGCCTTATATGCAAAGGTCTTTGAAGAGGTATATTTCGTCATCATCCTATCCTAAGATGTTACTTATATAAACGGCCTCTTTTCTAAAGAGTTTGTCTGCTTATTTTAGGCGGGTGCACTTGACAAACTAGAGGCATTTACAAGCCTTAATGGTCCGGACTTCTATGGTCTTCCAAGGAACACATCAAAGATTAAATTGATCAAGACTTCATGGAAAGTTCCAGAGTCTTTCTCATTTTCATTCGGTGATATCATTCCTATGCTGCAGGTGAAACACTAGTGGCAAGCATCCTCCTCATAACTCGTAAGTCAGTTTTTACAAGCAGACTATAATTTCAAATTATTTCTGGTCATTAATGTGCCTGCATAGTATGTTGATTGCTGACAGTGTGAACTTGTATTGTTTTCAAACTAGGGTTGAAGCAAACAAACTTTTGTTACTTTTTCAAACAACCTTACATTAGATAATGATATGCAGCTCGGTGCAAATTTTTGGTGGTTTGCTTTATGTTGTGGAATGTCTAATTAACATCACACGTTTTATTAATTTGTTGGTTTACAATTAGAACTCTAAATCAAAAGCCTAGAAGGCAGACAGAAAGGAGGAAAACAACAATTGAAAAGTCCTCTTCTGACACTTATAGTTGCTGGTAAGAACGTAACCTGAATAAATTATTAGTATGCTATGTATTCACTAATTCAGATGAATGAAATAACACCAAGAAATTAAAATATAATCCTTCAAGTAGTTGTAAAATATATATGGAAGATATCATAGGGAGGTAAAAGTTTCTCTACGCCACAAATACGTATAGCTCCCTAGGGTTTTTATAAAGGTGCAGCATGGGAAGTGGATCTCTTAACTATTAAGGACTCGAGAGTCTTAAAATCTCAGATTTAAACTTATAAATGGATGGAGAGAAATTTTAGAAAAGTGATGGCTATCATTGTATTTTTCCTTTTTCCCTTATCAGCATGGCTATCATTGAATAACCTACCAGACATAGGATTCATCAGCAGTATGACGTGTTGATCATAATTTGAGGCGTCAGAGTATTCATACCGATTCGTATGAGTCCTAGTGAAAGAAAAATGTTCTCATTTTATTATTAATTTGTATATGCGTTAAAATTTCATTAGTTTGTTATGCCACATAGAATATATATATATATATATGTATATATCTATATATTTATTGCAGCACTTCAATATATGCATAAGAAAATGTTAAGCTTACAATGTTATGTAAAATTGTAAATTTTACAATCATGATATGTCATTGTATGATCCACTTTTTTATTCGAGAGGCCTTATGTAATACTATATGCATTTACTTGTTTAATGTCACATTATCATTACAAATTTACAATTTTATATGACATTGTAACTATAAATTTAGATGGATATTTTTTATTACTCAATTTTTTTTCCACTGGCCAGTGATAAATTCAGCAGTATCTTGGGAATACTTTTAGTCAACAGGAAATCATAAGCTATATTTATTTCAAGTAACTTGGTCTAACATCAAAAGTACAAGTTCAATTTCAGAAAAAGGAAAAAAAAAAAAAGTAAATAGAGTATCAAACAAACTAGAACGCTTGAGCAATCAAATCAAACCGTATGTAGAATTATTTATGGAACTAGCTGATGGGAATTAGATTCTACGACCAACGAACTTGTCTTTAATTGCGCGCAATTCTGCAATGGCTTCTTTCATCTCCATTCTTTCATTTGGTGATGCCATTGAGCAGAGTACTCCTACCCTTGCCACTGCAACCAACCTCTCCAACATACAAACTTTCGTTCCTCGATTCCTTGCGCCTGAATGTGCATCATCTTGTACCTCCTGCAGTAGTGAAGGCTCTAAAATATCCATCACCCTCTCAGGAAGTGCTGTTTTAACAAACTGGTGAATGGTGAAATTGTCCTGGAATAATGAATCTGTTGGTCGTTTTCCTGTAATCATCTCCAACAAGAGAATTCCAAAGCTGTATGCATCTCCAAGTTTGGATGTCTTGTTGCTCAAGCCATATTCTGCATTAGGAAGGGAAAGTTGTGTGATATCATTGATTTATCATGTTAAGTATAAATGCCAACACAAAGAAAAAATTAAAAAGATTGAAATATACAAAGATAATTAAAACAATTACCTGGGGCTATGTAGCCAATTGTTCCTTTTACACCAATGGAACTACTTTGTTGACGATTAGAAATGGATAGAAATCTTGCAAGACCAAAATCTCCCACGTGAGCAACAAAGTCCTCATCAAGTAGAACATTGCTTGGCTTAAGGTCTCCATGAACAATTGATGGTTGGCAATGATCATGAAGATATTCAATTGCAAAAGCCACTTCGATGGCTATATTAAGTCTTTGAATAAGGTTTAAACTATGTTCACCAGCTTGGTCTTCATTTGGATGCAACCACATCTCTAAGCTTCCATTTTGCATGAGTTTGTAAACTAAAGCCTTGAAATCAATCCCTTTGAAGTCTATACTTGAGCAAACAGTTATAATCTTGACTAAATTTCGATGTCGAATATTTTTCAGCACTTCACACTCAGTCATAAAACTCTTGGAAGCTCCTTTCTGCTTGAGGTTTAGCACCTTCACTGCCACTGACATTTGATCTTGACCTAGAATTCCTTTGTACACGGAGCCAAAACTTCCCTCACCAATCAGATTAGATGGTGAGAACTCATTGGTTGCTTGACTCAACTCTGCATAAGATATCTTCGGAAATTGTCCAAGCTCTAGCATCATGGTAGAAGCTCTCCTTTTAGATCTCCTCTTCCAACAACAAAAAGCGAGAGAGGCTATTATAATGCTCGAGCTAAAGACTGTTATTGCGATCACCACTTTCAGAGTCTTAGACAACACTTTCTTCTTTAAGCCTTGAGCCTTACATGGAGGGAGTCCCAGTTTTTGAATACCTCCACATAATTTTTGATTTCCAGCAATTGAAATGGCACTTGCATTTTTAAATACTCCTCCTTGTGGGACTTCTCCTTCTAGTCTGTTGAATGACAAATCCAAGTTTTGCAACAAAGTGTAATTTTGGAAGAATTTGGGAATTTGACCAGATAAATTGTTTCTTGAAAGATCAAGATCCATAAGGCTTTTCAAAGGACTTAGTGAGGGTGGGATGTCTCCTTCCAATAAGTTTTCTTGCATCAAAAGAACCTCCAGCATCAAACAATTTCCCAAGGTGCTTGGAATTTTTCCTGACAATCTATTGTATGAAACTTCAAACGTCACAACTTTGGTCATGTTCCCCACCTCTAAGGGCAATTGTCCTATAAAAGAATTCTCCCTCAAAGAAAGGATAATGAATGAAGATAAGCCCAAGAGCTGTTTTGGTAAGTCTCCAATAAAGTAATTTTCACCAAGGTAAAGATTTAGAAGTTGAGAACAATTTCCTAAGGTGATAGGAATTGTACTAGTCATTTTATTTTCTTCCAAATCCAATGTTAGCAACTGGGTCAAATTTCCAAGCGATGATGGGATTGGCCCAGAAATTCTATTTTGACCTAGAGAAAGAACAGATAACTTTTCTAGTTTGCCTATACTAGAAGGGATTTCACCTTTAAGATAGTTCACGGTCATTTGGAAAGAGGTTAAACTAACTAGGTTGCCAATCCCCTCAGAGATTTTACCTGAAATATGATTTTTTGCCATAGACAAGTATTTAAGGCTAGTTGAAAGATTGGCAATTGAAATAGGTAATTCACCTTTCAAACGGTTGTCTCCTAACTCCAATGCTTGGAGATTGGTGCAATTGGCTAAAGATGTCAAGATCCCTAAATCTTCATCCTTACTTTCCAACCGATTCTGAAACAAGGATATAAATGTAAGATATCTTAAGCCCCCAAGGTTAGAAGGTATGACTCCACCCAAATTGTTATATCCGACAGTGAGTATTTCTAGCATAGATGCATTCTGTAATGAAATTGGTAACTCTCCATGAAAAAAATTTCCATCAGCAACAAAATCCCAAAGATTAGGAATTGTGCAGAAAATATTAGATGGAATTGTACCTTGTAATTGGTTCCATGCAAAGCCAAGCCCAGAGAGTGATGAAATATTGAAAATAGAAACAGGTACCCTCCCTGATAAGTTATTTTCAGATAGGTCTAGAATATCCAACTTTGGAACTCTAGCTAGCTCTGTTGGGATGCTTCCATGTATATTATTTCTTGCCAAAGTCAACAATTCAAGTGAAGACATGTTCCCCAACCATTGTGGGATGCTTCCAATTAATTGATTTTTGGAGAAGTGGATAGTGCGTACACTTTTTGAAAGATTTTGAAGTGCAATAGGAATTTCACCAGTAAGGCCATTCTCGCTAAAATAGACATCTTGTAATCTTGAGCAGAATGCCAAATTGCTTGGAATTTGGCCTTGAAGGGCATTAGAACTGAGATTGAGAATTCTCAACCGGAACAAACGACCAATCTCTCGAGGAATCTCCCCTTTGAAGTAGTTGTGACCGAGGTAGATTTGCCTTAGGAATGATAGGTTTCCAATGTGGGGTGATATCGAACCAACCAACTTTTGGCCCGCCAAATTCAAGTTGGTAACTCTACCTTTGTGTCGGTGGCTACATGAAACACCCCTCCAACTGCAGAAATGGAGAGACTCATTCCAAGAACTCATGACTCCAAATGGATCTTCAAGTATTTGATCCTTGAAGGCTAACAACGCTAGCTTCTCAGTTTCATTTTGAGGGCGTAAGGCAATTTCCAGAGGAGTTTGAAGGCCAAGGGATAGGTGGTTTAAGCAAATGAGAATGATGAGAAAAAGTGACACAACAGCCAAGAATGGCAAATTCAGAGCAGCCATCATTTCTATTAGGGTAAGAAAGAGAAAGAGAGGTGAGTCTGTGGTTTAAGTGAGCAAAGTAGCCTCACCATTTTATACAAAACGTTGGTGCGCTTAAACTAACACCCACGTACACGTTACTAGAAAAGTATGTGGAAATTTTGTTCTAGCTAATAACTTCAACCACGGGCCACGGCATAGCCATATAATCCTATGCTTTGGAAGTCCTAAAGCAATTCCCGGGTTCTTCAAACACACTACCGTCAAAAGCTTCCCCGTTTCATTCTGAAGAAAAGTTGTGACACCCAAGAAACGGCGGCCCACATACTAATTTTCAGTTTTCATTCTTTAGAAAAATTGTGTTTTGAAAAAGTGCCTTTTTTAGAAAATTGTTGCGTTATATTATTATATTAGTATAGGTTATGAAATATTATAGTAATTGAAAGTTTAAATTTTTATGTTAAAAGTGTAAAATTTATATTTTAAAATTGATGAAAAGAGATTTAAAATGATGATAACTATCTTTTAATATATAGTTTATTATTTAACATAGTGTTTTGAAATTTTTTTGACCTTTGGGTTTCGGTATGATCAGTTTAACCGATTAAACTATTTAAACATCGATTCAATTAAATATCAATAAATATAATGTCATATAGCATTTAATAATAAGCTTGCAATGGTTCTACTGGTTTGTTGTCTTGTAATTAATAGATTTTTACAT